GTTCAGTGTTTTGGGAAAGAATAGAGGCATGGTTTTCAAGATGAGCCACGATCTTGGATGCCTTTATGTTATAATGTTCAACTAGAGCTCCTTCAAATGGACTGTGGTTTCCTTACTGTCCCCAGAAAGCCTCCTTTTAGGATTTTTCATTTGAGTATAAGATATTTGACTAGAAAATACATTGAAGATTTATCTGTTATTCCCTAATAACGAGGAAACAACAAAAATTTCCATTGCTCCATTATGCAACAAAATTGCAGTGGGCTGAAATTGTGATCACCTCTGTGATTGTAGTGCCTGCAGCCTTCCTGTCAGAGGTGTGAGTTGGTGACAAACAGCTCAGGTAAATAGGATGGGCTGGAAGAAAATATGCAGGGACCTGGAATTTGCCTCCTACTGGCGGCATGTTGCCAAAAAAGTAAGGGGGAACATTTGAGCTAAAGCTGCTGGAGACTCAGAGACCTTCTGGGCAGGATGCTAAGGAGGGCAGGGAGCTGCAGAACTTTTTCTTTTTGGGAGCAAATGCCTTTTATGCAATCCTTTCAGACCCCCTCTTGGCTTCAGTGCTTTCCCCATCACAGTGCGGCTGATTATTTGTGCTAATGTCCTCACCTCTGGTGAACAATATTGCCGCTATATTTAATACAAGTGAGGGTTATTACAGTATTATCTGGAAGGAGCCATGCCCATTATAGGTTGCTGTGTATCTCAAAGCTAGTTTTAATTAAAGCTGCCAATAACTTTTGAGGTCTTCTGGAGTGGAAGCAGAGGACCAAAGTGCTCAGGTGGTTTCACTTGATTGTACAACTAATTATTAGAAGGGAGGAACTGGGTTCACTGGCAGCTAAGCCCTGCAGTTCCTATGCTGGCTGTGAGTCCATCAGAGCCTGGCCAGGCTGTGCTTCCCAACACATGGGTGTTTTTGGGACCAGGACACTATTGTCCACAGAAGATGTTCCTCCACTCCACATCCTCATCTTGATCTCATTATGAGCCAAAAATATCTGTGTTTGGTCAAACATCCTGTGAGTCAGAAAAAAAGAACTGGCTTTTCAGCAGTTGCTCACTCTGGATTAAACACAGGGCTTTCCTTCTCTGAGCAGTGCAGGATGTGTCCCCAACACCTGTGTGGTGTTGGTGTGAAGGACGCGATGGGGAGAGCCCAGCATGGCCCTGAGCTCCAGGAGATGGGGACATCACATCTCCTGCTCTGCCACTTGAATGTGGCAACACGGGGTTGTGCCTCCCCTTACCTGCAGAGAATAGAAAAGAGCCTCACAAGTGCAATATTAAAAGATTGAAATGAACATGCAATTAGAGATCAGAGAAGCCTTCTTACAGGAAAGTGCTAATTAATCCAATCAGAAGTGCCTGCGTCTGTCTTTTCCTGTGCACATCAGAGTTCAGGCTTTTGATAGTCACAGTGAACTTTGAAAATCCATTTTTACCCAGTACCTGATGGTTGGTATAAGCCATATGTTTGATCTCACAATGGGTTTTCTCTATTCACCTTCGCCTCCCAGGCACCAGTACACTTAATATTGTAATCACTACCTGCAGGAGAAAATCATCCCAGATTTACTCTCGTGGGAGATTTAGTCTCAGATTTGCAGCCTGTCCCTTTTCTCAGAGTGTATAGGCAGTCCTGCAGTATTGTGTGATGTGAATAGGCTGGAACAACACCAAGTCATCCATCCCATTGCTGCAATGATATGATTAGAGGCCTCTGTAAGCAGCTCTGTGTATACTTTGGCTTTATTTTGATACCTAATCAGTTCACATTGAATCAGAATTAGCACCATAATACAAGGGAAAAGACAGCATATTTGTCTGGGAAAATACAGGCAGGCAATGATGGTATGTGTGAGTGATATTCCTTCTTAATGGTGCCATGAAACCATTTTTTCTCAGTCTGGAACTTCAGTCTTGTTTTCCTTAATAGCCAGTTCTTTCACTCTGTTCTCCTTCTTCAGCCTTAAAGTTATTTACAAGGTACTTCTAAAAGTGGGTGATTTAGGCTGCTCTAATGCTTGGTTTGTTTTTGTCTCATCAAATTGCCTGCTGACCTGCAAGCAGCGGCCAAATCAGACTGAAATTAAAAAGGTGGTGGAATATGCCCCAGTCTCTCCTCAATCAATACCAGCCTAAATTACTGCAAACCTGGAGCCATGGTGCATGTAATACATCATTTTGTAACCCCATAAATTGCTTTTAGCCAGTCTCTTCTGATTTCTTTTTAATGGCCTTTCAGCTAAGATCAAGTGTAGCATCAGTTTCGCATCAGCTGTGTGCCCTACCCAGGGACTGCCTTGTGTTGGCACTGGGATGATCTCAGCCAAATTGTTGTGACTCCTCGATGCTAGTCATTTCTGAGCCGCCCCGAGATGCCTCCCCGTGGTGAACTGCACTCAAAGAGGACACAGCTGCCTGCAAATCCTGCCCTTGTTTATCTCCTTTTAAAATAAGAAGGAAGAGAGATGGAGAGGAGATGGCTGCGGCCTCCAGCGAGCGCAGTGGGGCTGCAGGGCCCTGAGCAGGGCCTTGCTCCTGGGCCATCCCTTTGCTTGCACGGAGCTGTATGAGATGTGGAGAGCAGGGGCCGAGCCTGTCCTCCTCCTGAGGTGGCCTGAGGATTGTGTGGGGATGGAAGGTCCTCATCATCTGCTCACTGGGCTGCTCTGATCCCAAAACCTGCTGCAAACGTGGCCCCAACCTGCCTTCAGAGCAGCTCAGCTACAGCCATGGTGGGCACTGGGAGAGTGACTCGACCCCCTCCACTGATGCTCCACGTAGGATGCCAAGTCTTCTGTAAAATAAAGTGTATTCCACCCAGGCTGGTTTCATGGGAGTTATCAAGGGCCCACAGAATAAGAAATTGCATTGCCTTCACGTTATGCAAGTCCCACTGTGGTAGGCCTTTTGGGCCATGGCTGGCTGGGAAGAGAAATCAGCTGGAAGCCTGCTGCTCCCCCTGTCCAAACATTAATTGAAAAAAAAAAATAAAAATGTTTTCCTCTAATTTAAGAGACATTTCTCTCAGACTTAACCTGAGGGCTGGAGGTCAGATTTCCATATCAGAAATATCAAACACCCTCTCCTTCTGCCAAAACACAGCTCCTTTAAAAAATACTTAATTGGAAAAACGTGCCTATTATCAGAGGACAGAAATGCAAATGCCCTATTTCAAGCTGGCATTTTAGAATGAATTTTTCTGTTTTGGTTTGTTTCTAGTTTTCCCATGGGAAAGCCAACATTTTTCTACTGGAACCGAGGGCTCCTTTGAAATGACTTTAGTTAGGAAGAAAATTAATTTTCCTCTTGGGACAGTCACAGCATCAATCTCAAAGGAAAGAAAATGCTTCTGATGCTCCAGGAGAAAGCACTGTGTTTTCCCTTGCATGGCAATGCCTCCTTTACTGCTCAGCCCCTGAACCAGCTGCTCGTGCCCTTGCACATAAAATAAAAGTGCACAGGGCAGCGGGTGGTTTTGGGGACACACGTGGGAGCTGTGGCAGAGCAGTTCTGGGTTGCTCTTTGCCCTCTCCACCACCATCTCTGGCCACTTGTGGTTATACCTGGGCACCCACAGAGGTCCCAGGAATGAACTTTTGCAAATGACCATGTTGTGGAGAGCCATGAAGGTTTTGTACATCAGCTGCATGAACTAACACTGGGCTATAGGACTGAGAACTGAGGCACTGGAGACACTCAGCCCTTGATGTTGCTCTGAATCAATGAACCCACTAAGCTGCTCTTCTCTTAGGGACAGATGCTGCTTCCCTGACCCCTGTGGAATAGCATTTGCTTCATAAAGAGCAGCCTGGACACCAGCAGGACTACCTGGGGAATAACTGCTCTCCTGGTCGTTATTTTAAAGAGAAAATCAGATGGTACCACAGGGCATCCCAAAGGCTCAGAAAGCAGCACAGCAGCTTAATGGAGCCACAGGGAGGCATCCCACAGGGTTCCTGGGATCGGGCCAGGGGTCTGGGTAGGGTGTACCTGCTCTGGATGAGAGAGCTGCCTAAATGCTTTGCAGCTCCGCAGATTCTCAACAGGGAGCCTTAAAGCTCCTCAGATCTTCTGTAATGAAATAACGTGCACATCCAGCTGCAAAACCTGTGCTGTAGGTAGGCAACCCCCAATTACGTGAGACTGCAGTGTTTTAAACTTTCTGTTAATAATAATAATAAAAAAAAAAAAAACTCTTAATTAATAGAGCCTGTAATAGCGACACTGGCATAACAGACCAAAATTTGACAAGAGGAATTACCTCAGCGGAATCGTAATAATGAACTTTTGTGCAGATCACAATACTGATAGGCATAATGTACTGCATCTGGTTTCAATTTGCTTTTTTGACCTTTTGTTGAAAATGAATTTTAATAGGCAATTGACTTAAATAATTGGTATGTGTTCAAATCAATCCTGGAACGTGATGGCTAAGTGGTTAAAATAATTGAGGTGTATGAAAGGATTTTTAAAGATTTTTAGATTCATATCAGAATGATGGTGTTACAGAGCTCGGCTCCATGGCTGCAATACGACTAAAGCACTGTCTTTGTCCATCCCTTGGGCATTACTACCATTTTACCTCCCAAAGTCTTCCCAGCAGCGTTGTAGGGTGGGTGTTTCTTCTCTTTGCCAGCTCTAGGAGCCTGAATCAAAGATCTTTAACTCCTTGGAAATTACAGTATGTTGTTGCACACCTCAGTTATTACCAACCCATCCTATCTGCAGCAAGGTCTGTTCTCCTTTTCACACAGCTCAAAGGAGCTGTGACAAGAGCTACATTTTGTGAAAGCACCTGAGCTGTCAGGCTGACCAATCCTGCAAAGCACAGAGATCAAAGTCTGCTTGTGGAACCCCTGTAGGAGGCTGGGGTAGGACCTTCCAGGTGGGGATGAGGAGCTTTTCGTGGTGCATTGAATCCAGACCACCTGGAAATCATTTAGGGCCATGAGTTTATAAAAGGCTCTTCCCCAGCTCAAAGTGAGGCTGTTGGTCTGCAGGATGAAGAGTTTCTGTGGAGGAGAGGGTAGTTGGAGGGGAAGAGGAGCTGCTCAGAGCATGGATTAAGGTCAGTGGGTGTCTGCTCTGCTTTTTTTTCTTGAACAGCAGCTTTGCTTTGGGGTCCGGTCTCAGTGTGGGATGCTGAGGAGCAGGAAAGGACTTACATTTTGGCAAACCAAGTAAGAAAACAGAGCTATTGGAATATGCAATAGCAATCTGCTCCTTCAGGGTGCTCATTTGGGTGCAAGCTCTTGCAGTTCAGGCAGCTTTTAGCAGAGCTGCTCCAGCTGGTGCCAGAGAAGTCCACTGTTGACCTGGGTTTGCAGTAAACACCCAGGAGGCACTTAAAGATGTGAAATGCAATTTTGGTTCCACTAGAATATGGCAATGTACTTTGTGTCCTGGCACAATTTCTCTTCTGATATGTGCTTGCCCTAGGGACAGAGGAGGCTGAGCTGGCTAAGCTGCCCTGCTCATTAGGGTGAGCAGAAAGGGAAGGGCAATGGTCTTTGGTTGTTGTGCTCCAAAAAATGCCTGCTCCTTTTCTTTTTCTGGCTGCAGAGAGATGGCACTAAAATGTATGAGAATGTATTTTAACTGATCAGGAAAGCTTAGGGAAAAAAAAAAGTAGCAACCACATAATGTCTTGAGCTGTTGGTTAAGGCTAGGCAATAAAGCCACCGCAAGACTTCCTGGTGGATTTGAGGGCAGGTCAGATGGGCTGGCTACCCTGGTACAGGGGTAGGCCAAGAGAAGGGTCAGGGTGTTACTGGGGACCCCAGGCTTTGCAGTGAGTGATGCTGATGTGCTCAAGATCAGCATGGAGAAACCCTGTGCTCCTGAAGTGCATCCTCTGGTGAGGAGTGGAGCCCTCTTGGCCAAGGAGGCACCTTGCAGTGCTTCATTCCCTGCAGACCAGCGTCATTCAAACATGGTTTTGCTGTGTGGTGTTCAGCTAAATTTAAGATCTATTTAGGAAGAGTTGCCCCTATTTTTAGCCCAGCTCAGTTCCTCAATCTGCTTTTCTGTGCAGCTGCACATGCAGCTGTACTGGGGTGATGGAGGGAGCAGCACAGGGCTGAGGAGCAGGGATGAATCAGGAGGGTATCCTGTGCCTAATTCACCCCTGGGTGGGGGCTCTGAGCTCCCTGGGGTTTGAAGTAGGGGAAAAGGGATAAGAAACTTGGGCTCTGTTCTTGGGAAGGAGGTAGCTGCAGTGGTCATGCTCTGCCATGCCTGGCACCAGCATCTTGGCTCAGCTCAGGCTGGGTGAGGCTCAGTCCCACCCTGAAATCCTGGGAAACCAGTGCTTTGAGTGCAGGATGATGCCATGGTGGTCTTATCCAGCTTCCCTACAAGGAGGTGTAAACCTGGAGCACAGCTCCTGTCCTTGGCTGAATGTGCAGCAAGCTGAATTTGGGTGACATCTGGCTCCAAACATGACTTCCCTCTTCTCACCTGCTCCTAGCCTCAGAGCTGCACTCCCAACAGTAGATTGAGCAATGACATTAACATCCTTGCCTGTATTTTAGCAAATACTTCATGCTTTTAAGGCTTTTTACCTTATTAAACCAGGCAGGCAGGAGCTGAAGGGCTGCTGAGGAGAAACCTGTTTTGTACAGGTTTTTTGAAAGTTGCAAATTCCATAGGTTAGAAAACATTTTTTGCTATATTTGCTCTCAGAATGGAGTGGCTGCCAGCTCAAACGTTTTTGTGGTGCTTCTGTAAATAAGGCTCACAGGTAAGACTGATACAGCAATCTATCATCATGCCAAGTGGCCGCTCCACTCTGTGCCTGCAATTTGATCCCAGTGCTGAGTAACTTCTCTGATGTGTAGGGTTGAGTAGTCACAGCTTGTTTTCCTAGGGTATCCCTTCTCTAGAAAGGTAACCCAAATCTTTCAATCAAAGCATATTTCTGCTTAATTACTGCGTGCCACGAGCCTTTTGGTGGCCACGTTGCCCAGATGTGACAAAGATGAGTGTGGCAGTGGGCAGCAGGTGGATCTGACACTGATAGAAAGGCATGTGGGAAACAAATTTACCCCTTTTTTCTCTAAGTAAGTGGGCATCCTCAGCGGTGTATCTGTCATAGACTATCGCAGCAGCACTATCTTCAATAGTCTGAAATCTGTTAGGGTTTGGGGGTGGTGGGGTGGAAAAAGGAAAAACATCTTGGCACTGTTGAGCAGGCTGGGAGACCTCGTCCTGGGGTGGCATTGGCAGCGTGGGGGAGCCAGCTACTGCGGGCATCAGAAAGCAGCCACTGCACTTATACACGCATCGTGGTGGTCAGGTGAGTGTTGGCCACCTACTGGGAGCTGCAGCTTTCAGGCCTTTTGCATTTCTCCAGGCAGAATTGGTTGAACTGCTGTGTCAAGGTAATTTTTATAAAACGCTTTCTGCAGCTATACATTATGTACTCAAACCGTTCCCCAGTGCTCAAGCAGTGCCTGGAGGAACAGTGCCTTCTGGAGACATCATTTCATTCCAATGTCTTCTGGAAAGTTCATTGCTGCCTTGACAAAATTCAGTTTTTATTAAAAATGATTAATGTCTAGAAATTTAATCAATGCGTATTCACGCGGCAGCAGCTTTACTATAATAGTTTGATTTTAAACAGCTTGTGTCCTGATGCGTGAGGTGCATTATATTATTTGACAGCGGTGACATTTATATTTGTAATTACTAAATGGTGACAATCCACTGGAAAGCCTGCCCCACTTGAGGGAGCAAAATGGATGTGAACGCGTGGCACCAAGAAGCACAAAAGTCACAATACATCAGCGGATCCTGAGATTAAAAAGCAGGGAATGACAGTCTCCTCCCAACAAAAGCACATGCGCCTTCCCAAATAAATTGCTGAGTTCTAATTATTTCTTTTGTGTTTGTGAAATATTCTCCTCCTGCTTGTTGCCTGACACCGTTACCTCTATCCTAACACAGGAGGACCCTGAAAGCAGAAATGTAGCGTGCAGGAGTCATGGGCCTCTTGGGGTTTCATTACTGAATGCTGAAAAATTGGGTGAGTCAAGCTGGGATAGAGATCCCAAACTTGATATAAATCTTGAATTGGTCAGGGAAGATGTTTGGAGCTGCTGTTTTTAAAGCACTGAGATGTAGGATAAACTTATCAGCTGGTGCAAGCTATTTTGGAAGCGGCTTTAGCCTATTAACGCTTTGCAGATACGATCCCTTCCCTGCCAGAGGAAGCTCAGTATTTATCCAAGTGCCTGAAAAACTGGGGTAGTAGGGAAAGGAGATATCCCCAGGCCTGCTGGTAATTAATAGGGCTTATCTCCTAGTTAAGAAAGAGCTGTGGGATGAGAGTTGCTACCCAGATTGTGCAGATATAGTAATCACACGGAGTTTTAAATGAAATTCATAACTTGGATGGCTTACGTCATCTGCTCAGGTGCCTGGTGACACTGGGCTGAGTTTGTCCTTGATGTCTGTCTCCTTCTTGCATCTGTAAGATTTCTTAGGGCACTTTCCATGTTCTGGTTGGGGCTCTGGCTTGTCCACACTGCAACCAAGGGGAGGAGAAGACCTTGTGGGGTGTGCTCAATGAGCAGAAAACCCCTGAAGAACTGCTCCTGTAGAAAACTTAATATTTATTTCCTTTCTCTTTAGCCCTCCAGCCGCTCCTGAGGTGGTGCCCAGCTGTGGGGTTGAGCACCTGGCTTTGGGGCAAGGGGAACACACAGGAATGGGTTTTGTCAGATGTGCAGCAGTGTCTTGGCCAGGCTCTTCCTATGTCAGACATTAATTATTAGGGCAAGCACAAGTACAAGTATTATCCTCATGTCACTGTGGGGTCTGACAGGGTGATCTTCAGAGCTGTTGGAGGTCAGCTGTTAGAAACTGGGATATGGACAGCCTGTCTCCTCGCTGGAGCAAGCCCAGGGTCTAAAGATAAAAGGTATCTGGGATGCTGAGGTCCTACACAGACAACAGAGCACTGGGACTAGGGATTAGTGAGCCCCCTAGCCTCTGGGACTCAGGCACAGCTAGGTCAGAGGCTTTATTCTTAATTAAATCTTTCATTATGTTAATCCAACAATGGCAAAAGCAGCACAAGGCTTATGATATCCTGCTTCATTTAAATAAAAATGCCATCAAAAATGTGACCTACTTGTTATCCTGCCTTGGGTTCTTCAGAGGAGAGCAGAAGCCATCTTTTAGATGAGACCGAAGTTTTCCTCCCCAAGAGTTTTCCTAGTTTTTTTTTAATCAAACTTTGCTTTCAGGAATGATCTATAAACTCTACAAGTATTTATGTAAAAAGAGGTTCATAATTCAAAATGAAGAAATGAAATATTTAGGTAAGATTAATCCTGAAGACATCAGTGCTTCAGCTGTGTAATCATTCATCTTATGTCATGGGCATATTTGTTTGGCTACTAACTTTTCTTTTGAAAAGTCTTGTTTCAGGGCAGCTTAAAATATTAAAGCAGGTGCAATGGGAACAAGTTTTGGATAGAGAAGGATAACAGTATGGGGATGGAAGCTGATAGCCTTTAATCCAAAGGTAAACTGGCATAATCTGGCACAGGAACAAAAATAATTAAAATTGCCCTGTTTTGAGAGCAGTCTCCGACCATATGTGCCTACTCTGTGCAGCTCTATGGGTTGCTGTCTGAGATGTCCCTGGGGAGGCAGCAGGATGCTGCAGTCACATCACCCTGCCTGGGGGAGATGCTTGGGTGGTTCCTTTCATCCTGGGGTAGACAAAAGCTGCTGGGGCTAGAACTGCCCAAATGGCTCCTTTGCTGCAAAGAAAATACTGCTCTGGGGGCAGCATGGTGGAAGAAACACAAATACTTTCTGTATGACCCCAGACAGGTGTCCTGACTTAGAGCTAAATGTCCCCTGGCTGAATATGCCTCAGGACCATTTGGTCCAGAAGCTGCTCCAGGTGAAGTTCATCTTGACTTACCATTAAGGCAAACACTGGCTTTCTACTGCATGTGGTCCCCCCAAAGCTGAAAACCTAACTACAAGACAGCTGCTTCTGGTGCAATTTGGGGAAAACCCACCTCAAAAACAAGGGGTGTGGGGTCTGCT